ACATTACCACTATAGATCGTGGAAATCGGAGTCGATGTGCGAGCTGAGATGTGCGCGCGCGCGCGCCCGTAGGCCGTTCAACGTCGGAATGGCATGTCGGGCATCGATGGATCGATGCTTATATCAGCCGCGGCGCGATATGACACGCGAGTCAAGTGCACCGCCGGTGATAATTTTGCGCGCGCGAATTTCAACGGATCCTCTCGGGGCTCTCGACCGATGGATCGATACGCGTACGCTTATCGCGTGTCTCACGGGAATTATTTCTACGAAACCGATTGTCTTAATGTACGGGAAAGTAAAAAGGAGGCGACATCAGTAACGAGCGAATTGTTTGTGGCATCATTATAAGACAAGTCGATTCTCTTGGCGCAACGTTAAACTTTGTCGCGGGAGAGAACTTTGAAAAATATTTTCTGATATATTTTATGCGTGAAAGAGTAGACGTTATTTAAGCCGCGAGAAGAGATGAGAAAGGCGCGATTGGGAATTACGAAATGTTATATAATATGTGCAATATATCTTGACAGATTAGATTAAGATCGCTGTAGAAAATATACAAACGATTACATTATTGCTGCAAACAAATAATTGGGTGAAAAAAGGTTAAATAAATTATGAACTGCAGTAAACAATCAGAAAACTTGAAATCGTTAAGTTTGTCCTTAAACTTAATCTTCATTTTCTTCAATATATACGTTTCGACAAGATGCGTCTTATCAAGCTTTTGATAAGCGGTTTCAATCAATATCCGAGCAAAATGGCCCTTCAATAGATAATTCAGAGATAGTACGATTATACACATGAAATCATAACGGCGAAATTTCTGATTAAATTTTTCTTACGCATCACGCTTTCTTATCGACAAATTTCCGGCAAATAAATTTTATCGTCGATGATATCGATGGATTGTACCCATCTAATTATAACGAAATGTCAGTTTAATTACCTTCAGGATTCTCGAACCGACGATCGGAATCAATGTCGCAGGTGCTTGTCGTTGCTCTCGGTGATCAAGATTAACGATCCGCGAGTTTAGAGTCATAAAAAAAAAGGCTTCGGTAAAAGCAACCATATTCCTCTCTCTCTCTCTCTCTCTTTCTCCTATCTCTTCCACAACTCTGTCGTCTATCGTTTTATTTCGGCGGAAAGAACATCGCGCAACGCAACGCCAGTTGTATCGTCGGTTATACCGTCCCCGACGGCCGAGATTTAAAACCGGTAGCACCGTAGGACCAAGCTGTATATTTTTAGAACGACCGCCGCGGTCGCGTGGGCGGACGCTGGTCATCGGTCCGAGAATCCCCGCTACTTTGTTTCTCCAGCGCGTGTACCTTGATCACGATGATCCCGTCAGACTTATCGGCGTACTCCGCTGATGGTTATAGTTTGACAATGTAGGAAAAAATATATCTAGCAAAAACAAGAGAGAGAGAGAGAGAGAGAGAGAGAGAGAAATTGCGCGCATTTCAAGGCTTAGCGATATTCCATTTTCGAGTAAGAGCTCGCTGTGATAATAAATTATAACGTGCGTGTAAGAGTTATCGTCGCGTCTGTTTGTAACTCTAAGCAAAGTACACTATATCTTCTCATCCCCCTGACGATAGAATTTCCACGCCTTGAAGATTTTCATTTCACATATCGTTAAAGAAATGAATACTCCATCAATTATAACTGCGATGATTGAAAACTATTGGTTTAATAATATATATATATACATATATACGCAAAGATTCTGATAAATGCGTAAACTTTTAAAAGTCCAATTGTAATTCTAATCATTGTAATCGTTTTATGTAAACGAGATTTATATTTCACATTATGAGAAGCATGTTTATGTACTTACGTACCTGTTTAGAGAATATGTGTGTATGTGTGTGTGTGTGTAATTCATAAATCTATAATATATTTATTATATTTGTTCGATCAGCATGGAAACGCCGTAAGGAAGAAAGGTCTAAAGTTTAAGGTCTCCCGCGATTAACGAAGCGCCTTAATTATCGAGGTAATTACCGCGGCGGGGAAGAGTGTTATCGCTCGTCGCGCGACACGCGTCCACATGTTCGAGCGAGTTTCATGTTTCATGTCCCTTCGCAGTATTACGGACACGCTGTTGCCATCGCTTACAAGGTTAACGGCGAGAGAGTAGCATTATTAAACGCTCCCTGTAATGGGTGGCCGACAAGAAAGGAACTGTTCACCGCAATCATACACATACAAAAGAAAAAATTACTATTTTATTATTTTATATTTTTTGCATCGCAGCAACAAATAAACTTACTTCATAAATAATGCATGAAAATTGTTTGCGTTTCTCTCTCTCTCTCTCTCATCTTTTTTACACGGTTTAAAGTGGGACTAGAGCGTGGGAAACAACAGAAAAAAAACGCATGCTATAAGAATCACGTCCAAAAGATGACTCAACTTATCGGGTTGATGTTACGAATTGCGTGTCTTATCATTTTTATCGGGTCATTGGTACATTCACCCCTCGAGCAGTTCGTCGAACCAGATTTCGCGCACTCGTTTCTGTAAATATTAGACGTTTAAACAGCCACGAATATATCGGTAATATGTATCTCGCGGATACGTTACACCGCGGCCTCGTTCCATCCACGTGGCTGGTGATAACGGGCAAGAAAAAAGAAAAATAATAGGAAGCTAAAAACAATAGAGCCGGAAAATCGTGGGCACGCATCTCTTTCATGGTCATTCTTGACATCCGCTTGCGTTTTACATACAATGTTATTCAAGGATAATTATATTCAAATAAGAATATATAAGATTAACTTATCGGATATCATAAGTAAAATAAAGATAAAAAGAAATGCGCAAGATTCGGAGTCTTTCAACCAAATGCGTTTATATTGCACAGGACAAATAGTATTCACCTTATCGCTGATAACCGTTTTGAGAGATAGATAAATAAATAGAAACAAGGAGGACCGCGATAAACGACGTAGGTAAATAACTCAATGCGTAATTCTCATTCGTGCAAGTACAAGCTCGGCTACGTGTGTGTACGTACGGATTCATCGTGCAGCTGCAAAAGTACGACTAATATCAGTAATTTTGCAATTTTAAGCCGTCGCCTACGTGCTAACTGCCTGGAGTGAAAGAACTTGGTTCCGAGAACGTTCCGTAACGTTAGTCACGAAACCCTCGAGACACATTGATGCGCTTATTACGGTGATTTCCACGATAAGTGAATCCCAGTGTCAAAGGAGGAAGTCGCGGCGAATTTTAGTTTCTCGAGAAATGACCAAAATGTACGAAAAAGATTATATGTTATTCTTACGTTTGTCGCGCTTCGACGTGCAATTATCGCGTTACTTTTAAGGAGGAATTGGACAGATTAACTATGTCAAAAGTTAATAAATCTAATACATTTCGAGATTCATAAATTTTTGACATTGCACGAAGTGCACACATTAAATATAATTTAATCTCAAAATCGTAAGTATTTTTATTATCTTATATCAAAATAACTTCTTTATATAGTGACTGTACCACGAAAATTTTATAGTGACTGTACACAAAAATTCATGAAAATAACTTTAATTTTACAGGGCAAATTTTTAGTTTAATTCACAAATTAATTATTAATTTTATATTTTAAAAGGCTAAAAGTGCTTTATGTGCACAATGTCAAATTCATGAATTTTGAAATGTATTAGATTTATTAACTTTTGACATAGCTGATCCGTCAAGTTTCTTCTTAAAGCAGACAGTGAGAAATGACGTTTCTACTTTTAAAGGGAATGAAAGCACGCGTCGACATTGTTCGATTTAGCCAGAAATAGTGTAAGTTTCATGCAATATCGGCGAAGAAAGCTGTGAAAAGTAGTACAATAAAGGATCTCGTGAACAAGAGATTAATAAAATTGAAATAGAAAAAATTTGCTTTATGTAACAAAGAAGCCTTTTTATTATATATGCGTATCAACAAATGATATGATAGTCGGACACGAATGATGGATCGTAAGGCCGGAACTTCGCGAGGGTGTTTGCGGATGTGGTAACGAAATCGTCACTCTTTAGCCGCAAGGTTTCTTGTCTACCGCGTTCTTGCGGTCTTCTAAGAGACGGCGGAGCCGTGAACCGTCACGATAAATATCGAACGTAGTTATGATCGTGGACGAGGTCTCTGCGCAAAATCCGTTTTTATCGCGGTTCGATTGCCCGGCTACGTTTTTATACACACGACGAGACGAGCTTAATAAACGTTTCGGGACAATTTTGGTTTTTCTCCTGATGCTGATGCTGTTTCAATTTTACGCACGACGGCTGAGCTTGATTTACGTGTCTTACAACCTGTTATTGACAAATACGTTCGTAACGTTAAACGCTGCGACAATAAAGAACGATGCGCACCCATTCGATAAAATATACGAATTGCTAAAATATTTGCAAGAGACGAGCAAAAAATGTCGGATTGCACACAATCAAACGGACAATAATTGACTGAGTACTCACAGCGATGCACGGATAAGCATGTAATACGCAGCCACATATATATGTTGCATTTGAGGATAAGTATTTACTGCCAGCTATAATTAAGATGTAATAAAGCCGCGACACAAGATATTATATCATTATCGATTAATTATAACGCGATAAAATGCAGATATTATAATATCTGCATTTCTGGTCTTCTTATATTACCGACACACAACATTATATAGCACACAACATTATTAATACATTTACGTCGCATCACTAGTAAAGACTTTTTTTTTATTCCTTTCTTTCGTAAAATGTGAAATACACTTTAAATAGTTTCACTATTATATAACACTCTCTTCGAAGGAACTTCGCATAACTATTCGATGACAAAATCGACCGTAAAATCAATGACAGAATCGTGACGTAAAATATTTTTTTGGAAAATGTCCAGTAAAGGAATTTTCTAACATATATGCATAATATTATATATATAAAATTATATATATATATATATATATATATATATATATATATATATAATATATCAATCTTACCTGCTTTTTTTTTCTCTGACGTGGTAACCGCGATAAGCCGGTGACTTGGAACTTTTACCGTAGCCGCAAGTCTTACTACAATTGAAAATGACGTTGTTCTGGAACACAAAATTAAGACACGCATGACAAAGCCGTGTTTTCGAATGGTAATTTTGATAAAAGGGGCACATGATTTCTATATACAATGTATATAAAGCGAATAAAAATATATACATATATATATTTCTTTTTTGCGTTATTGTTCCATCGTATATACGAAGAAGAAATCACAAATAATTTTTTCTAATTGGTCTCTCGCTTACGATTCGAATAATGATGCAATTCTTAGAAATAGCTTTGCAAACGATACGTGCTATCATATACCGGATCAAACTGCGGTTTTTATGCACATATCAACTTTTATACGTGTATATCACGCGTTTCTATTTTTAAAATTTTACTTATTCCGGGGAAAAAAAGTCGGAATAAATTACATTTTTTTGTCTTTTAATATCTGTAATTTTTTTCTTTACATTCACAAATCGCATTTACTTCTCTCTTTCTCTCTCTCTCTTTCTCTTTCTCTCTCTCTCTCTCTCTCTCTCTTTTTCTATGTCGATTTCTCTCACGCACGCACTTTTTTATTCACTCTCTGTTTCTATTTTTACACTTTGTTTTACACCGAAATGTTCAACATGTCATCGATTAAATCAAAGTAATCTTTTGCCGCGCTTCGCTTTTATCGGTTTCCAATGAATTCGGGATTAAATTCATATCTGAGATTAAGCTACTTACCAATGCAATTAGCAGATGTGACGTAAATACGACGGACAAAAATATGCTTCCAGTTGTCACCAAATTGCTCTCTAACTACTAAGTACGGATAATGGAGAAGAGACTGATACACTCAGAAATCTAATTGTTGAAATAAAATGCGGCTCGTCGGACGTCCTTTTTAAAAAGGTGAAAAGACGAAGAGGAGGAGAGGGGGAAATATCAGACAAAATATATGCCTTCTACCAATAACAAGTTATGTATCCGTCCTGGGAGGACGGATCTTTGAGAAACGCGTAGAAGGGCGTGACAAAGATTTGGCCCTTTTCCTGCTATTGGCAGATACTGGACAATGAATCATGTCCATCACCAACCGTCCAGCCTAAATTCTTTTGTCTGTAAAGTATTTTTCTTTTTTTTGTGCTATTCTCTTTTTGTTCCATTCAGTATGGATGGTTGGTGACCAATAAAAAAAAAAAGAACTTAACTCTAATCTAACTTTTCGCCGAAGTCTTTTCATCCCGCAAGTACATTAACACCAAAAGAAGATCAAGAAGAATTTCATATTAATCATACTACACACTTTTATCTTATTAAATATAAAATAGATTTTTTTTAATTTTATTGTGTTAATATTTGCACCGACTTTAAAGTGATTTTAATCATCCGGTAGCCTTAGAATATTCCCAATGATAAGAATATGCGAATCAAAGACTATTGATAAGATAACGTGAATCTACTTCGCGCTTTAAATACGTCTTATATTTCACATAACATCGCAACATATAAAAAATATAATGTGAGATACATTTATGATGCACATATAAAATTCATCAATCGATCCTGCATTATCAATCTGTGTTATCCGCATTATCGATTTGATTGACTTTTCAGTCCTCGATCGTCCGAGTATACCGTAAAAAAAAAACAATAGTTATGTATAGGAAAGAGGTAATCGTAATCGATGTTATTTTTGTTTGTGTACAAGCGTGATATATGTAATCATTGACTCATCAAAGGCGAAAGGTATGTCGGTGGACTTTCAGCGAAATATCAAGCAGGTTACTCAGAAGCGGGATGAATCATAAACGAGATGCGACTTTTTCAAAGGAACAGGTTTGGTTCGACCCAGCAACCGGTTGATCCGAGATTTTTTAAGGGGGAGGGCCGTTTTTCGCGCTGACCGCTGAAAGTTTAGGAACGAATCGAGTACAACCATGTCGGGAGGAAGCGAATCCGATGACTCATCCGAAGAAACGCGAATTAACGAAGACGGCACTGGCGCGCTCTTACCGCACACTTGTCTGTGCATCACGTAATCCCATTATGAACACGCTAGATTAGACTTATCACACGATTGAGAACAAAACAAAACGAGCGACAGAGTCTTACTCCTCGATATTAGAAAAAGTTACATTTATATAATATAAATTTTATTTGATTGTCTATTATCTGCTCAGAGAAATGCCGTTTTTAAAAAATTTTTATTTTTATAAAATATTTATTTTATTTTTATTATTATTTTTATTTTATTTTTATCTTCTACATATTAATGTGCAAACAAAAACCTATTTATTAAAGTTTTAAAAGCAATTCTTTCTAAATTTTTTACGAAGAAAAATTCAAGCGTGTGACACGATTATTGAGAGAACTGTCAATGCCGCTGTCACTGATGACGGTTGAATACAAAGTTAGCGTTTTCTGCTGTTACTGATGCCGAACATCAAAAAAACTTGTATTCAAAGCTATTGCTTTGAACAAAATTTATAATTATTTTAGAAATTTCATATTTTCGAGTAATAAAATAATTGAGACACATTATTAATTTATTTATTTTAACTTAATAATAATTTCATAAAATCTTATTCAAGATGTTTAAATGTCAATTTTTTATGAACATGAGTCACAAGTATATCTCTAAAAAATTTTTTTATTGTCTATCCTAAATTTATATTTTAAGGTAAGTTTAAACCTAAAACTTCCTGCATATGAATTATTTCAAAACAACGTTATATATATATTTTTTTTTCTATTAGATTCCAATTAGATTTTAGAAATTTTTCTATATATGAAAATATAATAAAATATTTATCTGACCCTGAATTTTTGTACTAAATGTCAAAGTAAATGCATGCACCTTTTTTATTAAAATACTTTACTACCTGCAATTTGCTTTGTTCTTTTATTTCACCTGTCACCTCCCTTTTCGTTTCCTTTGTTGTTTTCAATTGAAAGCTAAAACGTCAACGTCCATTCATGGAAATTTCGTATGTGAGGTTTCTGACAAGAATTATTTTTCTCAGAAACTGCGGATCTACGGGACGGACGTTTTAACTTGCACGCGGTGTAATTAAGAGATGTTCGTCGACCGGAAGTCGCCCACCGCATAATTCGGTAATAAGGCGCTTCTAATCGCGGCCGGATCTGCCAACTTGCATTTTCGTGCGGCGCGCGATCTTGTTAATTTCGCACGAAACGACGAGACGCGGCCGATGTCGGTTTCGAGAGGAAATGCGCCAGGAAGACGATTTTTCATGCAGGATGCGGAGTTGCACAGAGCGGCCGATATTTTTGTCCGATAACGCGCGAACAACGGCCGGCTTCGGAGCGGATTATAAATGCTCCTCGATATATTTCACGCGCCGCAAGAGAGATGAGAAAGAAAGATCTGTCCGATCTCTTCCCAGAGACTGGAAAATAAAGAGAGGGCCAAAAGAGCGATGGTACGTGACATCGCGCTTAAACGCAAACTATAAAACGCTTTATCGCATATTATGGTCGATTAAAAATAATTCACGATAAAATTTTGTCTTAACGATATTTCGTGTTAAATCAGAAACAAAAATGCAAAAATGCATAGAATTTCGCGGTAATAAGGGCATTTTATTGTTGTATGTAGCATTGCAAAAATTGTTTTATGCAATAAGATATTCAACGAAGTAAATAAGAGACGACGTAAAAGATATTTTCTCCGTTGTCCTTTTTTTCCGGGTGTCTATTATTTCCATCCAGCAAGAACGAGCTTTGGTAGGGCACCTGCTGCACCTGCAAGATGCCGACAGGTCTACTACGACTAAACTACGGCGAACTACTACGACTCGGACGGTTTCCCTTGTCATCACATTATTACACGACCTGTTCATACACGTTCAGATTTCCTTTAAAGATGCACAAAAAATAGAGTTGCATGATTATAGAAGAAATGTGAAAGCGCTTTCGCGATTGCCATTTATCTTTAGATTCGAAGAGAATATATTCTGAATATATTCATTATTATTTTCTCTTTCTCTCTCTTTATCCACGCGAATAATCTTATAATTAAATTTGTTTATGACAAATTTATAACACGCAATATGTCAAAATTTTGTTCTGAAAATGTAAAATTGTTTGATCATATGTACAGAGAGATATTATATTATAATATATTATAATTTTATTACTCTATGTGAATTTATCTTATCTTAGACAGAGAATAATAATCTAAATCAATCTCGAAAGTAAACAGTTAGAGAGTTTGAGAGAAATACATTTGTCTATACTGACACTTGTTTTGAAATCCCAAGCTTTTTGAATATATTGTTAAAAGTCTCTGCTTTTTTTCCAGGAAGGTCTTGGTGTCCTAAAAAGAAACGATTTTGTCTTTCCAACAAAAACTGTTCGTTTAAAAGGAAAAATATAAGACTATGTAAAGCGTGCAGTATCGTGTAAAGCGTGCTTCACACGATGTTTTCTTACTAGCTTACTTAGCATGCTAGTTTACTAGCAACTAGTAAAAAAGCATCGTGTACTTTAAAATGTTATTAAAATAGCATGCTTTTTTCTCTCTTTAACTAGAATGTTAGTCAAGTTAAAATATTTCAATTTTACTAGCTGCTAACGCACTAGCATGTAGCTAGTCAAAAAGTATCATGTGAAACACGCTTAAAAGACAAAGTCTTAGAGTGCTCATCGAGACTGCGTAGTTTCAGGTTTGTTGGTTTTGAAGAACAGATCGAAGTGAATTTGTTGCTTGAACGAGTCTTTTTTGTTTTCTTTATCTCGCACTTATGTCAATGTCTAATCTAAAACTGACCAGTTTTCAAAGATATTTTGAAAAATAGCTTGTCACTGGCCATTTAAATACGTCCGCAGGCGATGCACTACTTCAGTAATACCATAATACCATAGCTTCTACCTCACAAAAGATTTGCAAGAATCTATTTCGAGGATTTCTTCGCGTGTACCGATGTCACATGTGGCACCGTCTTATCCTTATTCTTCCTTTCTCTGCTGCCTCTCTTCCTTTCCTTTTTTTGCCGCTTCTCTTCGCCGTCCGTTTTCGTTGGGATTTCTGAAAAGATTCGCG